AAGAAGGTCGCTGGTTCGAACCTTAGCTAGGTCAGTTGGCATTTCTGTGTTGAGTTTGCAAAGACATGACGTACAGGTGAATTGGGTAGGCTAAATTGTCCGTAGTGAATGAGTGTGCATGGTTGTTTCCCAGAGATGAGTTGCAGCTGTAAGGGCATCCTTTTGTAAAACATATGCTGGATGAGTTGGCGGTTCATTCCGCTGTGGTGACCCCAGATTGATAAAAGAGCTGTATTGTAAGTGAACAATCCTATGCAAAATACGCGAATAAACTAAATAATTAATGAATTAATTAATCAAATATTTGTTTTTAAGAATGTAAATGTTTTGATCATAAATATAGCAAAATTATTCTCTGTTTTGTCCCACAGACCATTAATTTTACATTTGTATTTATGCTAAAACACAAGTGGAGTTTAATGATCAATATGTTTTAGAGCAGCATCCTACTGTATGTGATGCTGTACACCTCCAGCAGGGGGCAGGAGAGTGTAGGGAGGTTGTTAGGTCACATACAACAGGTGTAAAGGAGTGTTTATACTATAGTACTGTCATTTACTGTCTGTATTTTCAGTATGCAGAATGAATACTATGCACAGCGTGTGTGTTTTCTGTTTGCATGGACTACCATAGACATAAACCACTACATTTGCCAAGAAGTGCAGTATGCAACCAGAGCACACAGCATGAGTACTGCATCCCACAATGCAATGCACTTGACCTGACCTTCTCTTTCCAGAGTCCATTATTAAAACATGTTCTGATTCAGTGTGTGATCAAAGTGTGGATGCTTTTCGAAAACAGTGGGTGCAAGTAACTAGTGCACAAGTAATCTTCATTAGTGCGCTTGTGTTTATTATCAGTAGTGCAGTTTTATTCATCAGTAGTACATTTGTGTTAATTGGTAGTGCACTAGTTTGCATGAGAAGTGCACTAGTATTCATTAGTAATGTACTGGAATTCATTAATAGTTCACAATTCATTATTAGTGCACTTGGGTTTATTAGTAGTGCACCAATATTCAGCAGTAGTGCACCTGTGTTCATTAGTACTGTAATGTACTAGTATACATCAGTAATGCACTGTTTTTTTTGTTAGTAGTACACTAGTATTCATTGGTAATGCATTGCTGTCCATAGGTGATCAACAGGTATTCATCATTAATACACTTGTGTTCATGAGTAGTGCACCAGTATTCATCAGTAGTGCACTATGTTCACCAGAAGTGCACTAGTATTCATCAGTAGTGCATTAATATTCATCAGTAGTGCACCAATATTCATCAGTAGTGCATTAATATTCATCAGCAGTGCACTAGTATTCATCAGTAGTGCATTATTATTCATCAGTAGTGCATTAATATTCATCAATAGTGCACTAGTATTCATCAGTAGTGCACCAGTATTCATCAGTAGTGCATTAATATTCATCAGTTGTGCATTAATATTCATCAATAGTGCACTAGTATTCATCAGTAGTGCACCAGTATTCATCAGTAGTGCATTATTATTCATCAGTAGTGTATTAATATTCATCAGTAGTGCATCAATATTCATCAGTAGTGCATTAATATTCATCAGCAGTGCACTAGTATTCATCAGTAGTGCATCAATATTCATCAGTAGTGCATTAATATTCATCAATAGTGCACTAGTATTCATCAGTAGTGCCACAGTATTCATCAGTAGTGCATTAATATTCATCAGTAGTGCACTAGTATTCATCAGTAGAGCACCAATATTCATCAGTAGTGCATCAATATTCATCAGTAGTGCATTAATATTCATCAATAGTGCACTAGTATTCATCAGTAGTGCATCAATATTCATCAGTAGTGCATTAATATTCATCAATAGGGCACTAGTATTCATCAGTAGTGCCACAGTATTCATCAGTAGTGCATTAATATTCATCAGTAGTGCACTAGTATTCATCATTAGTGCATCAATATTCATCAGTAGTGCATCAATATTCATCAGCAGTGCATCAATATTCATCAGTAGTGCATCAATATTCATCAGTAGTGCATTAATATTCATCAATAGTGCACTAGTATTCATCAGTAGTGCCACAGTATTCATCAGTAGTGCATTAATAATTATCAGTAGTGCACTAGTATTCATCAGAAGTGCACCAGTATTTATCAGTAGTGGTAATTCATGAGTGGTGCACTAGGATTCATTAGTAGCATACTAGTGTTCATCAGTATCATACTACTATTCATCAGTAGTGGACTAGTGTTCATCAGTAGTGCACTAGTATTCATCAGTAGTGCACCAGTATTCATCAGTAGTGCACTAGTATTCATCAGTAGTGCACCAGTATTCATCAGTAGTGCACTAGTATTCATCGGGAGTGCACTAGTATTCATTAGTAGTGCACCAGTATTTATCAGTAGTGCACTAGTATTCATTAGTAGTGCACTAGTATTCATCAGCAGTGCACAAGTATTCATCAGTACTGCACTATATTCATCAGTACTGCACTTGTATTCATCAGTGGTGCACTTGGATTCATTAGTAGCATACTAGTGTTCACCAGTATCATACTACTATTCATCAGTAGTGGACTAGTGTTCATCAGTAGTAATTTGATGAGAGTAAGCCACTCAGACTGTCAGTTGTGATCCACATCAGTGCATACTTGGCACAGTTGCACATCAAGCACACTTCAGAAACCTGAAATGACAAAAGGACTCTCTGGTGCCCTATTTGTGCCTGCAGTGAGCTTGACGTGTGCTGCTTGTCACTGTCAGAAGGTCAGCCCTCATGAGGTGTTTTATCATGTGTGTGTGTGTGTGTGTGTGTGTGTTGCAGACCCGAGGAGGACCCAGAAAGGAAGCGTGACGTCTGCAGTGAGATCCTCCAGATGAAGGCTCTGGAGAGACTCACGTCCACGGTAAGCGTGTGTGTGTGTGTGTGTGTGTTTGCTGACACTGACTCCATGTCCTCAGTCCCCTGGTGTGTGTAAATATCTACTCCAGCCTGAAAGAGTCTCATCCATCACACTGACACTCATGTGACACCAGCGGACAGAGAAAGCATCCGTTTAGCCACCCGCGCACTCTCCCATAGACACACATGTACTGTGGCGCCCTCGCTGGCCAAAAGCTGTAACGAACAGCATTGGCTCCATGCATTATCTGGGTGAATATATATATATATATATATATATATATATATATATATATATATATATAGGGCTTTACATTAACTTTTTTGATAACCACCCACAGTGGCTAGCAGTTTTCCAACGTTACTAGCCACTCTGCATTTTCACTAGCCACAATTTTGTTGTTGGGAAATATTTTTATATGCATAAATATGGCTTTGACATGCTAAAATTGCTTGATTTAGATGTTATGTCCACATGCCTCCTCATTCATTTCACGTTTTGAGTGTCGTGTATGAGCAAATGGGTCATGGTTTCATAGTGTTATACTGCAAACAGTTTTTCACAGGACTTTTCAGAACTCAAAATAAAGGATTTACCTAATTTATCTCTGACCACACCAAACAAAAATTATTTCTTAGCCACAAATTTTAAATGTGTCAAACAAGCTGAAAAAATAAATAAATAATATATATATATATATATATATATATATATATATGTGTGTGTGTGTGTGTGTGTGTGTGTGTGTGTGTGTGTGTGTGTGTGTGTGTGTGTATATAAATGTATGTATGTGTATATATATATATATATATATATATATATATATATACACACAAAATTATAATGCATTATATCAAATTGTACATTAGTGCAGTATTAGAGTTTATGCCATTGCAAATAAAAAAATTTTAAGCTGTAATAATTTCTGATGGAAAATCCATATTTTTTTAAGCCTTTAATAAATCATATTACATTAATAAAACACAGATTCAAGTATGTTATGTGACATTATTAGGCATTCATATTTTCTGTCTATTTTGCATTACTTCTCTCTTCAATTTTCCCTTCAGATTTGTTTGTGTTTATTTTTCAGTTACAAAAGTCAATTATTTGGAATGTTAAATGTACTATTAACTTTACTCTATTATTTTATATTAGGGGCACTCAAAAATTGAACCTGCACACTCATTAATAAATGTGCAGTTATGCCCCTGTGTATAAGCCAATCACTGGCACCACATCAGTGCATTTCCTGCAAGCAAGCATTGAATTCCTTGAATAACTGCATTGATATCTGATGAGAAAAATATATATAATTTTTAAAGCCAATATAGAGTAAAATCAACAAAAATTCAATGCTAAATCCCTCATGAAAGGTGTCGTTAATATTCTTTTAGAGTCTGAAATGAGCAGATTCCCTCTTGACTCTTCAGTGTTGACTCAGTGTAAACGTCTGGGCTCTACACCGCTGTCCTCCACATCCCATGAGCCTTTTCTGTCTGCGTCTGAATCCCCAGCTCTCCTCTGTGTGCGTCTGTATTTTTAACCGCAGTGCTCCAGAGATCTTCGTTGTCTGCTTTGTCTCTGTGCCGTCGGTGAACAGCAGCTCATTTACATCAACAATGAAGTGAAGACAGTTTGCTCTTGAGCTTTAACGGGATGTTTTGTTCCACCACAGGTCCAGAATGAACTCGCAGCTGCGCTTGCGAGGAAAGCCAAGAAATCAAGTAAGATGGCTTTATATTTAGAAAACATCAAATCCTTAGTGGTTAGCATTTTCACAGTAAGAAGTTGCTGGTTTGAAACTCGGCTGGGTCAGTCGGCATTTCTGTGTAGAGTTTGCATGTTCTCCCCATGCTGGCGTGGGTTTCCTCCGCGTGCTCCGGTTTCCCCCACAGTCCAAACACATGCGCTATAGAGAAATTGGGTTGGCTAAATTGTTCATAGTGTATGAGTGTGTGTGTGTGTGTATGAGTGTGTGTTTGGGTGTTTCCCAGCACTGGGTTGCAGCTAAAAGGGCATTCATTCATTCATTTTCTTGTCGGCTTAGTCCCTTTATTAATCCGGGGTCGCCACAGCGGAATGAACCGCCAACTTATCCAGCA